GAGGTCTAATGATGATTACAGAGACAGCAACGAAGAAGACTTTTTTCCCCCTCTACTACAGAAGAGTGTGCCGGCCACCTATCTGCAAGGTCAACATTCACAAACGTATGCCATCTCCAATAAATGAATGAATTCTCATTTTCCCGAGATATTCCTTGTCCCCACAAGAGCACATGAACCAGACCATAGACCCCTCCTAAGCTATGGACCCAGAGGTACTCTAGGGGCACATGTGCAGACCAGGCAACACATGCGCTGTGAGTTTGTGAGAGAAACGGAATATGTTCCATTGCCATACAACCAGATGGCACCTACATCAGCTGATATTTATGATTACTACTATTATTTCCCATAATTGCCCTTCTGAGATGCGCTCATTTGCATCATGCTAAGCACTTGTAATTAGCCAATGAAAGATTTGGAGCTGAGCTGGTTCAAAATTGAGGCCTCTGTGATGCAATGTATATATAGCAACTTCATCTCCTAATGCTGAATATCTCCAGAAATTATGTAACTGAGGCTTTTTCTAGAGATGGCTTTTATTAAAATCAGACGAAATATGTTCGTTTTTGTTGGGGCGTTCAGTCATCTTAGACAGCTCTACAAATAGGCTGGGGCCTGGGGAGGAAGCAAAACAGAGACTACATAATTCTCCCGAATCACGAGGTATGGTCTTAGCAGTAGGTTCATTGCCAGGAGGAATCCTTGACGGTGCCAATGCTCATTGTGGGAATCTAGAAGTAAAGAGCTTTGAAATCAGCCCTCCTCCTCCCCTTCCATTTCCCTGTCAAGATGCATAAAGGCATTCAAACTAATCCAAAAGCCCAAGAGAGCTGGCTGGTTAAGTAGGACGGGCCCAACCTTGAGTTCAGAGAGCTTTCTAATGCTTCCCACCTGCCTCTCTGAAGTACACTGCTTCCAAGATACAGAGGCAGCAAAGACAGAGAAGACCATGGGGTAGCAGAAATGGAAACTCATGGACGTTGGCGCAACCCTGAAAACACCATCGTCCTTAAGAAACCACCCCAAGATCAATCTACCCTTCTTTTCCTTCCTTCCTTCTCCCTCCTTCCTGAGAAAAGCAGCCTAGAGTAATATAAAGACGTGAGAAACTCCATAGTCAAGGCTCTTGATAATCTGGTCCCACCTCACCTGTCCAAGTTCAGTGCCCTGGATCCTTTTGGCCCAGCAGCCTCTCACCTTTCTTTCCTCCCCACCATGCACACGCTCTGCCAGCACACATAGCCTGGATCGTTCCAGCCCCCCACTTGAACACTGTGACTCTGCCTGCTGTCCTTTGTGGTCTCTGCTTTCTCCACAACCTCCAAGGTCCTGTTCATGGACCAGCAACATGGCACCAGCAACAGCAATGCCTTCCCTTCCGGCTTATCCCTCCCGCTTACTGTCAAACTAGGGGTCGTAAATGGCTTGATCTTAGGGGTCAATATCAACTGCTACTGTGCCTGGAAATGCAGCTGGAAAGTTCAGAGCTAACCTCTGAGATCCAGAGCACCTTGGCAATGACAATGAGAGCGGCAGGGGAGGAGGGAATGAAGCAGTGTGTGTCTATGGTCTGCCAGCCCTGGGCTAAACCATTCAGCCTGGTAATGTTGATAATGGAATTTAGCTTAACGTTGTCTCCCATTATTCAACTTAATGCAGTCTAGTGATCTTGTGGCAGTTCTGACAAAATTTCCAGATTTTAAAGATGCTGCTAAAATTATAGAGAGAAATGACCATAAAAGATGTCATAGAGAGTTACAACTGTTCATTCTCTAGTGATCCTTCAAACTGGGTTTACTTCTTAGGGTTGGTTTGATAGGCCATAAAAAAGATGATTTTGGCAGGCACAGTGGCACACGTCTGTAATCCCAGCGGCTTGGGAGGTTTAGGCAGGAGGATCGCGAGTTCAAAGCCAGCCTCAGCAACAGGGAGGCACTTAGCAATTCAGTGAGACTCTGTTTCTAAATAAAATACAAAAGAGGGCTGGGGGTGGAGGAGCAGGGGATGTGGCTCAGTGGTTGAGTGCCCCTTGAGTTTAATCCCTGGTACCAAGAAAAAAAGATTTCAATAATGCTCCCAGGAATGATAATGGTGTTTCTCAAATATAAGTATATACACATGCATATATGTCCTATACAGACACACTCGATGTATAAAGCAGATTGCTAATTTAGTTGTAACTGCATTGCAACTGCAGACTTTCTTCCTAGAAAGGACACTCCCACCCAGGCCTACTTCTACAAGACATCTCTTTCCAAACAATGGATAGGTCAGAGGCTGAAGGAGGGAGGGTCCAGACCTTGTCCACTGTACATCCAACCAGAACCTTCCCCTCTTTCTTTCCAGCGGTTAATAAGGACCTGGTTATAAACTACTCCGGCCCTGCCTCTTGCTGAATAAGCCATCTAGAAGCAAATTCTCAGCCTATCCAGGCCTTGGTTTCCCTAACTACGGAACGAAGGTGGCACTAGGACCTGATCTAGGCGGTCAGCCGAGCAAAGTGCTTAGAACAAAAGTGAACTTGGCAAACACTTACTCAATGTTAGCTTTTGTGATTATTATTTTCACCTTTTCCCCAGTACTTTAGAAATATAACTACTGAGATTATTCTATTAGATGGCTAATGTGTGAAGCAGCCCAGTGTTTTCTCTTCCTTTAGACACTACCTGGGAGCTCCACTCTAAGTTTAATGCTTATTCTCCGTTTTCATTCTTTTTTTCTCTTCCTTTCTTTCCTCAGACCATGCATGCAGACAGCTAGGGTTTGGTATACAGTAAGCAAAGCCCCACAGTATTGAGTCCTTTCTGTGAAGTTTTATGCACTGTCGTCTCCCGAAAATTCACTTCCCCTGCTCCCTGCGGCCAGTGCTGTGAACCTAAGCCTGATATCCAGCTCCCAGGTCAGATCCCAACCTTCTGAAAAGCCCCAGTGTGACCCACACCACACTGGCTGCTGGAGGCCTGTCCTTCTAGATGATTCAGCAGGTGGACAGCTCGCCCACCCCTCCCTCTGTTCCCAGGGACTCCAGGTCACTGGAAAGACCAAGTCTTTGTTTTGGTGGGCTGATACTTTTCCCTTTTTAAAAGATCTGCAAGCAAAACAATTTCTCTGCCTCAGTCTTTTTCTTGGTGGTTTTTATTTGCATATTAAAGGCACAGCCACAACTAACCTTAGTTTCTAATAGATAAAGTCATGAATAACTTGTTTGGTTTGTTGTTGTTGTTGTTTAATTTTTTTTTTTTTTTTTTTTTAGTTGTGGATGGACACAATACCTTTGTTTTACTTGTTTATTTTTATGTGGTGCTGGTGATGGAACCCAGTGCATCACAAGTGCTTGGCCAGCACTCTACCACTGAGTTACAACTCCAGCCCCTGTCTGTTTTTTCAGCTTCCAATTCCCCTCAACAGGCACCAAGCTCCCAGGTGGAGAAGGAATTTAGGCCTGTCTGGGGAGGTGGGGAGCCAGTTCCCTGCAGGTGAAGAGCCTAGGGTGCATCAAACGTCCTGCGCCCTCCCCAGCATTTCTCTTCCTCGTGCACCCCTCCCCCACTGCTTTATCAGCTGTTGAATGACTGGCTGCAGCCCAGGTGGAAACCCAGGAATGGCATCAAAACTCCTTTTCCTAACCCCTTCCCAGGTTTCCTTCTTCTTTCACTCCTCCCCCAGGTAAAATGCCAACCAACCCCCCAAACCTCTAGGTAGTACACTATTAAACACGTGGATGCAAAGCATTTTCAAGATCAGGAGGAAGGGTAAAATCTCTCTGGGCAAGCAGACCATCCATCCTCCAGGGAGGCTGAGTCCCCAGGTCCCCCCAGGCAGCACGTTCCTGAGAGTAAATAAATTGTGCGGGGATGCTAGATGCGGTCATAGACATGGGCCAGGATGCAATAGGATGATAGGAATTGTTTACAGTCGTCTTCAGATGCCAGAAGGCTTAACAGCGGGGATTCCTCCTGGCTGCTGCTCAGGTGCCAGCTGAGTCAAGCATTAGCCTCCCTTTCCTGTTGGAAAGGCTGAAGCAGCAGTGACTTGCCCACGGTCACACACAGCTTGGGACCGAAATAACTCTGACTCCTCCTTCCTGGCTCTAGCAGCAGACAACATCGCCTTATTACTGCACTATCATTCAAATCTGAATCATTTCAAAAGCTCCTAATTGCAGGCTTACAGTGAACTGTAACCACCGTGTGACTGTAACTACCCAGCAAGCCCAAATAGGAATGACTGAAGTTTTACAGATTCCCCCAAAATGGAATTGAAGTGCTTGAGGTGAGGGGGGGGGGGCATGGCTTAGAAAAAAAGTGTTTGGAAATGACTTTAGAACTGCTGACAATGATCAGATTTCGATTTTTAAGCAATGAATTTGAAATGTCACCTCCACTTTGTCTTGATATTGGAACAGAGAATCACTCAGCATTTAAATAGATGCCATTCCAAAAGGCTTTGGGGGCTCAACCTCAGATATTTCTAAGGAGTCTATATCCTTTCTCTTTCTTTTTTTAAATCACTGTTAAATCAGTATTTAACCCATTTTGTCCCAGCATCCCAGGTATGGAACACCCGTAAAAACTTAAATTAAACCACAAATCTACCACTTATCATAACTTCAAAATAACTATTATGTTTGTAGAGTTGAAAACTTGGGACTTAATGGGTTAAACTTCCCTTTTAACTTCTCTGTTGGCTGCTGTGGGGAGTGAAGAGGGCTTGGGGAAAAAAAATCAGGCGTCTAAGTTCATATCTGTACACGGGGCTGGACACGTGCTGTGCTCAGGAAAGAAAGTAAATTCCATCTGGCAAATTGCCCTAACTGATTCATTTGTCCTCCAAGAGACGCCACCTACCTGCTTGCAGGTATTCAGGTAAATGATAGGTGGGCGGGACCTACTGAAGGTCTCCATGCTAAGGTCTCAGCAATGCTTTATCTGTCCTGGCTCCTGTGATGTCACACGTTTCCTGCTCTGGACCAACCAATGCCCTCCTCCTTCCTCCAGGCACCTGTACACTGAAGTTGAGGCTGGTCAGAGCTCAGGCAGCCCAAGGAGCTTCGCGGTTCAGCCACAAGGGGTGGGAGCTGCCTGGTGACTGCTATTTTGAGAGCCCCAAACATTTGAAAAGGTGAGCTGAAACTCCATTTTTTTTCTCTTTGGTGTTTAGACCACTGGCATGGAAGGGAACTAAATGGGGAATCTGAATAAAAGCCGAATGCCTTAGCCCTGGGTAAAGTTCTTTTGAGAGGAGAGGAGACAATGTCCTTGACGTTCTGGTTGCAGAGTATAGTTCTTTCAGGTCAGGTATTGAATCCTTTTTGTTTCTCCTAATCATTAATCCAGCCTCTGCTTGTCTGCGAAGCTGATCTGATTTTTTTTTTAAACCCCAGAAAGGAGTGGAGTAGAGACTTTTTGTTGAAACTTAGCACAAAGGTGCAGACCTGTTCATCCCGTTTAATGGAGGTTGGAAGGCCCCAGGGCTGAAAAAGTTCAGTTGCTTCTTTTTCGCTTGGCTTTGCCTGGTTTTCTGTGTTCATCTCAGAGACAATTGAGACCTAAACCTGTGCAACATGTTCCTCAGACACCTGCTTGTACCTGAATTCTAGTGACCAACTCAAAAGGCACCATCCCGCCCATTTTCCTCCCTTTCTTCTCAGAAAAGATCTACTGGATTCTTTGCTCTTTGTAGAACGAGTGCTTTTTTACAAAAATACTGTGCCATCTAGATCAGAATCTTTACCTTCAGACTCAGATTGGCTGTCTGTTGACCTTTGGTTAAAATAAAGATTATCCCTTCAGGGCCACGAGGATGTAACAGCTTCCGTTCTAATTTTTAATCTGGGGGGACACACTTGATTTTTCTCTTTTTCTTTTAATAGGAAATATATAGAGGAGATTTGTTCTGCCAGGGCCTGACTTTTTCAAAGTAATTGTATCGCTAGGATCCATTTTTGTTTTCTTCCTCCTGATTACGTGGCCTGGACTCCTTCTACTCTGGACAGCCCTTGACAACTCCACACTGTTGTTAGTGAAAGCCAAGAAACCATCTCCAAACCCAGCTCCCTACTGGGGTGAGCTGGGAAACCTGGGGAATGAAATAACCTGTGAGGCTCTTCATTCTGGATTCCTTCACGGGCCGTTTTTCTGAGATTTAAGTTAACAAGTAGGCTTGCAAAGGGGAAAAATCTATTAGGAATTGTACTACCTACTATTTATCCACCCAGAAATTTGAATTACATGTAAATTTTCCAAGAGTATGAATTGAAACAAGTTAAGAAATCTTCATCTTAGGCAGACAGCTGCTTCTTACCACTAAGAATCTGCCCCGCTCTTGTTGCCAATTTCTCTCCTACTCCTAGGAAGCTCACATTTTTTTTTTAATTTATTTTTATTTTTTTGATATGTTTTAGTTGTAGATGGACATAATAACTTTATTTATTTATTTGTATATGGTGCTGAGAATCGAACCCAGTGCCTCACACGTGCTAGGCAAGCACTCTGTCACTAGCCACAACCCCAGCCTCGAAGATTGCTTTTTTCACTGATCTCTGGGCCTTGAACTTGTGTGTTGGGTGGAGACTGCTGCTTGTACCTTAATAATGTTCTTACTTGATTCAGAGCTTTGTCATCAGAGAGAAAAAGATCTGAGTCTTGTATCTTCTGGTTAAAAATGTGTGTGCAAAGTCCTGAATCTCTCCACAACCTTGTATTCCCTCTGGTTTACCATGGTTGATTAGTTCTCTTCACAATAGTTAACTTATGATTAAACACATCACCTCTTCACTCTATGACAGCATCTCTGGCTACTAAAGATCAAAGCCATGGACCTTATGCCCCCTGATAGGAGAAAGGGAAAAAATGAGAGACTGAAATTCAGAGTCAGGACATTTACAATGAGGCTGGTTTGTTGGAAAACTCATACCTGAGCTCTGTCCAAATCTCCTATATTAACTCCACCCCTTAGATCAAGGGACATAAAGCCTGATAGAAAAATCTCTTCCTCTGATATCTCTGAGCAAATTACTTCTCTGACCTTCAGTTTCTTCCTCAATAAGACAAGAGAGAATAATCCCTTGTATGTACTGTAGTCAGGGGAAGTAAAGAAGGTAACTAAAATATGAGGAGCTTAGAGCAACCAGTGCTTGGGGCTGAAGGAACTCTCCTGAGTGTGTGGAGATGGTGGAACCTACTGCACTAAAAGATCTCCTGTGGTTGCAATTATTAGGAACCATGGTGGTTCTTGTCATTGTCATTAATTGGAAGTAATTAACTCCAATGTGAATAGTTTGGAGAAATAAACCAGGGGGAGGTGAGTACCTACAGGATGTCCTGAAAGGAGCCAGCCACCAGTGTCTCCAAGTCTCCTAGGCAAAGCTTTGGGGAAGTTAGTTACTCCTTCCTTTCCCCACCTCACAGCTCTCACAACAGACACACAAAATATGAGCTCCCTACAGGCCTTCAGGGGGAAATGTGCCGCTGTCATTTGCTGTAATCTGACTTGGCAGGAAGCCCTGTTTGCTTTCAATTGTGCTATCTCCAGCTTGGACTGGGCACTTGGTCGCCTCCAATCTTGCAGATAAACACCCTTTACCCGGCCTGCATGAGCCGATGGCAGCCAGAGGGGACAGACAGCAGGGCTGAAGCCTGCACTGTATTTTGTAACGGAGGTTCCAGGGTCCATTGGATCTAGGTGGCCCCTTAGTGGAATATCCTGTGACCTTCAGTGACCTTGAGTTGTTGCATAGGAACAGGGGTGTTCTCAGGGCCCTGGGGGTTTCTCCTGGTCTCACCCTATCAGAAAGAATAACACAGGTTTCCATCTTTCAAGAGCCAGGGGGTAGTGGACCAAGGACAGTGGCTTCTAATCTTGAACGTACTTCTATCTTGCTCAGGAGACTCTGGGGAAGAACCTTGACTTCCCTGACCATCAGTTTCCTTGTCTACATCTTTCCCCAAAAAAGGATGCTAAGATGAGGTGCTTCACAGCCCTGTTGGTCCTTACAACAGATGTCAGGTGGGCTTCCCATCTAGGCAAGTGGGTCAGACTGACTGGAGCTGGGGGGCAATGCCTGGCTAGGAAATAGGAATCGTATTCATCCAAATTCTAGGTGGAGAAACGTTTCTGCTCTAGAATAATGACCTGATATGTGGCATCAGATCACCTGGGCTCAAAACCCAGTCCCAACACATGCTGCCTGTGTTCTCTGGGACAGGTTAGGTGCTGGGGATCCAACCAGGGCCACCTGCTCATGATAGACAATTGTTCTACACTGAGCTACTACCATCCCCAGCTAGAACAAGTTCACTAACCTGCTTTATCTCAGCAGCAAAATAGGGTTATTGCAAAGATGAAATGAATTGCAATATGTAAATGGTACCTTATGGAAGGTTAACTCTTACATGCATTATTTTCTTGAAAGCATGGCTTAGTGGTGGAATCAGATTTGGGTTCAAGATTCAGTTCTGCCATGTAATTACTAGCCTCCATGTGGTACTCAATATCTCTGCCTCAGTTTGATCATCTGGTAAATTAAATGTTTAGCAAATTCAAGGCTGTTGTGACAAACAATTAAAACAGTTACATGTGCAGTGCTTGGCATATAAATGCTTGGTCAGTGTTAACTATTGTTATGTTATTACAGAAAGAATGTCACATTGGCTGCAATAACAATCTTCTTAATCATGCTGAAGTCTGGATATAATGATAGAAATTCTAATAAGTGGAGGGCCAAAGACTGAAAAAAATGGATTTCTCCCAAAGGCTTAGAAGGAAAACCTGTTAACAGAGATTATCTTCTTTACCTGGGCTCTCTAGGGTAGAATAGCTGCCAGCTACAGAGCTGGGCTTTTGCAGACCGGTAGACAGTAGGATCTGTGATGTGAGACACGGTGATCAGCAGCTGCCGCTGCCATGATTCTCAGCTTCACACCTCCCAGAGCCTCTTCGACCTGACCTTGACCATGATCTCCTTTTTGTATTTGAATTCCTCACTTAAGGTGGGAAAAATAAGGTCTGCTAGGACTTTGGCCACCGTAAGATGCCATCCGTAAGATGCTTCCAGGAGAGGACAAGTCAGGGAGGTTCTCAAATGTGGTTCCTCACTGCCTTGGTATCCCTGGACTTCCTGGTACTATGGAACTATTCTTGCTATTTATGTACTGGCATTACACAGACTCACTTTTACGTGGGTGGCACATTTATTGTCCTCTGACAGTACCTCCAAACTATCAACAGCCTTTCAAAACTATTTGGAGGGCAGGCTGTGTGTCACTCTTTGTGGGTTAATGAGATTTAGCCATCTACTGTCCCCAAAGAATGAGATTTGCCATGAAAACCATGAAAGTTCGTAAGTACAGAAAACTTCACTGAGCTCAAATCAGGAACAGAAAGTGGTTGCTGACTCTAGTAAACTTCCAACATCGGTTATTTCCTCCTATCTCATTCTGTGTGACACAAGGACACCACAGTGACCAATTGGTTTGTTATACAGAGCGAACTTCATATGAGTATGAGGAAGACCTTTCTATGAATTAGAGTTGTCCAAAGTATAGCAGGTTGCCTTTTGGGGTACTGAGTTCCTTGTCACCGAAAGTGACAATTTCATGGTATATGCAGTGTTTGGTATGTGTTTGCCAGGTAGAGGGATGGGCAGAAGGACAGCTAGATGGATGGCTGGATAGACGGTCGGATGGATGGATGGATGGATGATAAAGAATATTTGTGTTTCTTCGGCACACATACACTCACCCATAAAATGAGGGATCTATTAGGAATCTCACAAAATTATTTCAAGGATTAAATAAGAAGATACATGCCATGTACCTAGCACAGTATCTTGCATGCAGTAAACTGCCCATTGGAAGTAACAATTATTATTTTAATTTGTATTATATTCTAAAAAGGAATTCCTTACACTGTACATGTGAAGAGGGTAGATGAGATGATATGTGGACTTGAGATGTGCAGTTTCTATGACAGCCCCTTCATTCCTGTTCTGTCTCCTCCCTGTGCTTTGCCCTGTACCTTTCTGAAAGAAGTTTTTCTTCCTGTTCCTTAAGCCATGTTCCTTGACATGGTGGGTTGACTAGTATACTTCCTATGGTGGCAACAGGTTCTATCCCAAATAA